CATTTAAAGCCTGATACATAAACATCCGACACAAAAATATGTCATCACCGCAAATTTATATAATTCAGTGGAAGCCAAATTTTAATTAATTACGAATTTTGATTTTCCCTCTTGCTGTTCTTTTGCTGATTTGACATCAGAATGCTGCCAATATGTCAGTAGGTCGTAAATTCTTTCTTAGGTTGTAACACAAATTTGGCTGATGCCGACAAAATTACAGCCGCCGCTCTTAGCTCCAACCAAACAGCTCATATTTTTACATTCTCACCCCTCAGTCACACACACACACACCTGCGTTTGCGAAGGCGCCTGTTCTCGTTCTTGAGGCGGTGCAGCCTCTTGGCAAAGAACACGATGATCATGAAAAGCAGGAGGAGCACGAAGGAGGCCACGCCCACCACCACGCACAACACCTGGAACTCGGTGACCGCCCAATCGCAGCGCGTGCCTTTGTTCCAGATGTAGTCCTGCACGTTGCACCTGGATACAAAGGAAAAAGCGAAGAAGAGAGGAAGAAACATAAAGAGACTGAGTTCCCCTTTGATTTTACATGAACACTTTTAGCTTGTGCTCGGCTTTCCTTCTCTTCTGACTCGTGTAGAAAAACAGCCAAGAGGTTTATCGTGAGTGTTTGCCCATTGCACCAGAGTATTTACCATATTTATTGCGACAACATCTAAGACAGAGCAAAGAGTGTAAAATGGTACTCGGGGCTGATGACATGGTGTCCTGAAGTCAGTCCAGCAAAGCGGGGATTGGGCCTGCAGCCTAGCTCTTAATGAGATCAAAGGATCAGATCACGTGCATGTAAGTGTGTGTGTGTGTGTGTGTGCGCATCCATGTTCTTGCTATTTCCGTGAAATTGCGTGCAAGTGTTTGAATGCTGCTTGAACATATCTAAAAGTGTGTGTGTGTGTGCGTACATATGTGCGTGTGGTATTGCTCAGCAGGTATGACGAGCTGAGCAACAGTTTACTTCCAGGCTTACAGTGAGGCTGCAGGACAGGACAGATGGTGCTACGGAGGCGTGCACGAGCGCGTTTCTCAGTAAAAACGCGTGTGCACGTGAGCGGCCTGTGTTTGTCTTTAATGCGTCCCTCCCTGACCTGACTGTATTGTCTTCCTCGTACTTTCTATGTGTGTGTGTGTGTGTGTGTGCATCAGCTGTCAGCAGCCTACCAGGGCACACACACACCCTTTACCCCCTGCCTCCAAAACTGAGCTAATCCTTCTGCGACCCTGCTGCGATCTTGACGAACCCTCATGACACATAAAGCCAGCCTTCTGTCTTTGTGCTCCAGTGTGTTTTCAGCGTGCGTCTGAAGTGTCCTAAATCTTTCCTTTTGTGACTGCAGAACTGAAACGTTGGAAATGATTCTGAAAGGATGAGTTTTAAAACCTAAATAACCCACCACTCTTCACATACTGCACTCTGAAAAGTAATTCAAGGGACTTATTTCTACCATATAACTAAATGCATGGCTGCCAGAGTAAAAAAAATTACTGATTTGCACGAACCTTTGAAAAGAAAAACTTATTTTTAATGGGCTGGATTCACATGTGACTGTTGGTAATTGCATCTACTTCCTATTTTGTGTATTTTAAACTTCTCTGTTAGCCGATTTAAAGCTGAAGTCCAGTTGATGTAACTGAATGAAATTGGCTTGAGAACTTCATTTTTCTCCACCTTGAGTCAAGATTTCAAGTCCTCTAACATGCCTGAACAGTTTTGGAACACCCTACAATCCCACACAGTGCAGTTCATCTGTATATTTAAAGTGTTTGCATGTTTCTCACCTGCAGAAGGCTCCGATGCCCGCCACCACGGTGCACACCCCTCCATTGAAGCAGAAGTTGGGTTCAACGTCACACTGAGACACACACACCCCAGGTCCGGACTGCACAAAGCCCAGCCTGCAGCCACCTTCCCCGAAGGCCCCACCTAAGCCTAACCCATCGTCCTTGTCTGGCCCTGGCATGGGAGGAGCTGGTAAAGATGGACCACTGTTCATGTTGGGCCTCACGTTGTCGGGAACAGCAGGAGAGCCAGCCAGGAGTGGGTTCTCATCCTCCATGTCGGCTGGAGGCGAAGGGGTGGGCTCGGGTTCTGGGGTGCTATCTAACGCCGAGAGGTCATCGTCGGGGGACAGGTAGTCATAAAAATCAGAAAGCGTCCATGCAGTGGGGTCCCCTGCTTTCTGCTTCTGGGGTTTTGGGACTTTGGCCCAATCCAGAGCGACGTCAGAGGGAACGATATCTGGCGCGGGACTGTGAAACTCCACGGTGATGACGTCGTCGGATGAGGGCTGGTCTGGACCCGCCCCCCCGGCAGTGAGCTCCTCCCCCGCAGGTGGGTCTTCCTCCACGAAATCTAGGTGGACGTGTTTGTGGGAATGGTGGCGTTTGGTGGAGCTGAGCGGGAGTTTGGCATCGAGCCCGAGCCCCGCTCCGATCAGGTGTTCTCTTTCTGCAGAGTCATCGCTGAGCACCATCCTGGCGTTCAAGGCCTCCTTGTGGACGGATGACCTGTTGCGGTGATGGAGGCGCACGGGCAGTAAATACTTCCCTGTCGATCAGACACAGAAAGGTTATGGGGTTGTCCGAAATAATGTACATTTGAAGAGACACATTAAACAAACACTTGTCAGAATTGTTGCAGCAAAGACCAACTTTCGATCCCTATCATTGAAAAATCTCCGAAAACAACATCTGCAGCTCAAGCCCAAGATCAGACCATTCTGATAACATCATGATGTATTTGTCTCACATGAGACAATGGAGACATTATACAGCTGTTTTAAATAGTCGTCTTCAAGACACACATGACTGACTTTGATGTGTTATTCCAATTTATTGACCCTGACATAATTATTATTGTGAACACACAACAATGACGGTAAACTGTGGGAGTTTGACACTTATTTTTTGTGATTTTATCTAAACGTAGATTAAAAAAGATAAACAAATGTTTATATACAAGCATTTAACTCATCCCAAGACTCTGTTTTGGTTGATAGAGATCAAGGCCCGAGGCTGAGGTACAGCATCCTGCAGAAGTGCCTTGAGGTTGTACAAAGACACTTTTCTAGGAGAATATCCTCCAGTGTGAAGTCAGCCACATTTAATAAACATTATGCAATTTAAATTGCAGTATATACACAAATCTGTCCACGAGAGAGCTGGTTTAAGGAAAAAGTGTGGCTCAGCAAAAAAAAAAAAAAAGCCTTGCTCTGGATCACTTTTTAGAGCTAAGTGATTAATTGTTGACGAAACGAGAACAAGAGCAGAAGCTCTTGTCTTGAGCGTGTAATCAGAACGTGGTGATGTGGGATTAGGCACAAGAGTGATGGACTAATGTGCTCTAGTGCCCGAGACTGGGTGAGGATTAGATTAGGATTTAGAGCTATAGGTTAGAGGCTGACTGGTCAGGCACTTCTCTTGTACTTGGCAATCTGCAGAGGAAGATGCGCACACACACACACACACACACACACACACACACACACACACACACAGATCCACAGAGGCAATGTGATGCAGACAGACAGGAATTCTTAGAACCTTCGAACATGCAGCAGGCTGCCAGTTGGCCAGTCGGCACAAACTCAGCCAGACATTGTTGAAGCCCACAGAGCTGCCTTTTAAATTCAAGTGGAGAGCACGGTTTCCAAAAAAAAACTTGTAAGGGAAGAATGTGGGGACATTGCTTCTATGAAAATAAGTGAAATGATGGAGTTGGAGTTAGAAGCTGATGCTGCTGTTAGAAGAAGTGGAATAAGTTTATGTTAACAATGTGATCCAACATTTTGGGAAATAATTCTTATTTGCTTTCTTGCCAAAAGTTATAGAGTAATTTTATTTTATTTTTTTAACTCCTTAGCTTAGGTTTAAACTTGGACATGGGGTGAAACAGTTAGCCTGACCACAGTTAGCCTGACTCTGTCCGAAGCTGATAAAATCTCCCATCCAGCAACTTTAAAGTGAACTGACTAAGAGCTTGTGTTACATTATGCAAAGGTTCTTAACAGAGGAAGATATTTTAAAGAAATATTCAGGCACATAACCCCTATAAAACCCCAACAAATAGTTTCTACGTGTACCTTTTAGTACATGTTAAAGAACAAAGACAAAACATGTTAATTTGTGAACTTCAGTAGTACTGGAAGTTACCAATGGCAACACAGTCTCACACTAAAATGTGTATTAGCTCCGACAGTCCAAAGCAACAGAACACATTTGTTTCACAGTAGTGGCTGTAAACCTGCAGGATGACTACCTTTTTCTGGTTTCTCTTTTCTGTCAGCCTGTGTCATTGTCACACAGCTCTAGAGTTTCTTTTTCACGTAAAAGGAGCAACAAAGTTAGTATTTTGGATTTTTGGTGGCATTAACTACAGGACTTTCACACAAAGCTTTAAATCTTGTGTGGTGTGGTTCTATTTTTGTATTATTTTCACACTTTCAAATCGCTATTTGCTTTTGATTATGCTGGAAACATACTTGGTTAAGTTTAAGTTTGATTTAGGGCTGAGATTACAGTTTGAGTAAAACACTACAAAGCTCCAGGTGTTATGTAAGTAGTTTGCAATTTTCCTACTTTTTGTGTGGAAAAAAATGCATCGTGGACGCACATTTTGGCGTGAGTCTGGACACTTAACAGAACCAGCCTGGCGGTTTCCACTTTTCGTTGCTGACCGGAGCTAACAGCTGCTGGCTTTACCTCCACATTTAACACACAGACATGACAGTGCAATCTTTGTGGAGTTAATTTCCCAAAATGTAGGACTGTATTTGTCCAAAGAAAGAAAGAAAGAGAGACCCTACTGTTGCACAGCTTCTGGGAATATTTTTCTTGCACTGGTGCTAATGTTCCCACAGTTGACAGTATTTTAAGAAGCCACTTCGTCACCCTTTTCCACTGGCCTGGTACGTCTGCAACAAACGGCCAAACTCATCCAGATTCTTGGCTGGACGGCCTCTCTCCCACTGCCACCCTGAAATCACTGTGTCCAATGAGATCACTGCTTTCAATGTCTGGCACTTCATTCAGAGCTAATACAAAAACCATCTGAACGTGCCTCGAGTCACGAAGACTGGCGGCGGCTGAGGAACCATGAGATTCACCTCACACACACACTCGGCGCGGTTGCCATGGTGAGATGTAAAGAGGTGCCATGTTGAAAGGAGGAACGGAGCGAGGGAGTTGCGGTGGAAACAGAGAATCCACTGTTGGTGCTCTCTCCCTCTCTTGTTTTTCAATCAATCAGCCAGCCAGTCACTAAGTGTTATATGCCAACTGCATCTCTGGGAAATCTGAGGTGGAATGAACTCGACCGGTTTCGCAGTTTGTGAAGGAGACATGCTCCGCCGATTTAAACTGATTACAACAGATTCAGTTTTCATTTAAAGGGTCAATCTGCCAATTTGTTCTCCGCCGAGACTTAGATGTTGCATCCTGTTAGCAGCTGGCGGCCTTTATGGCGATTACCAGAGCAAAAGGGAACATGAAGAGATTACAAGGGCGACATGATCAAACTGAATGCGCGAGCCCCCGCTTAGCAATTTGATTTCCGCCTTTAGGAACGGTGTGATTTGCGACTTTAACTGCCGCTCGGCTCTTAACCTCTGGCATCGCAGTGAGCATGTCACCATGGTAACAAGTTTTACCTGAGGTCACTGTGATTGGTTAGAGTGCAGGCTCCCGGCAGCAGCACCGGCAGGACACAGTGGGAGTGGTAGGAGCCCTGCAGTGTTGCTGGATAGAGACCTACTTTGCAACTATGTCCACTCATATAAGCCTCTTCATGGACACGCAACAGCTAGAAAGATGCTGACTACGCCCCACTAGATTCACAGTCAGGTGCAGGTCCACAACATCCAAATCAAGAATTTATTAATAACTAATCCTCAAGAAGCTCTACAATCTAATTGTGTTGCGCAGCTGCTGTGAGTTTTCATTACCTCTGATAGGCCAACCTCCACCCATTAACCTGTGGGGCATTTTGTGATATTTAAACTATAAATAGTAATCCCCCTCCCCGTCTGTGTTTATGCCAGAGAAAGGAAGGGAATCAGGGAGACGCTGATGATCTGATCTATCGTGACATATCATGAGCTTTCTGGGGCTACAGGGCAGATGGACCTCACAGTATGCGCTCACTCAGACGCTGGACGCACCCTCACTCTCACATGGCAGAGCACGCAAGAGTCTGGACTGGATCCATATTGTTTTACATGGACACCAAGGAGGCTCTGTTCCTGTGTGTTTGGGTGTGTGTGGCTTCGTTCAAGTGATTAGTAAATTACCTGATTATTTGAGTGAAAGGGTATTAACAGGCAGCTGATGATTGATTAATGGCTTAAATCAAGTACAGGTGCCACAAATTATTTGGCTCAGAATTGGTAATTGTGGATATTATGGATTACATGTTCCACTGTTAAAAAAATATATATATTACAGCTTTTCCCTATTTGTTTAATTACAGAACATAGCATGCAAAATATCAGAAGTTAAAGTATAAATGAACAAGCTAACCACAAAAAAAATGTGCAAAATTGTAAATAACATCCACATCAAACATCTTAACTTTTTTACAATTAACAATTAACAATTTTTACTGCAATTTAAGCTGCAAAAAAATCCGTTATTTTACAGATACCGTACTATATATATTGAGGATTAAATAATGGTAAATTATTATTTAAGAAAATAAGAGAGTTTACCTTGGAATTTTACAGGTTTTCCCTAATTTGTTAAATTACAGAAAATATGTCCCAAAATTACAGAAAAAAAAACATGTTTAATGTAAATGTATGTATGTATGTTGGTCAATCAGGGAAAAACTGTACATAATGCCAACATCAGCAATCAGTATTTTTGAATGGTCATTTGTTATTTTACAATGTGTGCACATAAAAATTTGCAAAAACTTTTACTGCATTCAAATTAGATAAATATATCTTTTTTTTTCCTTTCTTTCTTTTTTTTTTTTAATGCAATAGTATTTCACTTTTTTAAACATGTTTTTCTGGTTTCATTGCTGCCAGATTTTCATCTTTTTTTTTTTTTTTTTTTACATATATATATATTTACAGTGTATGACAGTAGACAACACAGGCTATCTTTGGGTTTTGCACGGTTGGTTGGACCAAACAAGGCGGTGCACAGATTGCAAACCCCTTTGAGGCCAATTTGACACTTTGAACTGGTCAAGCCAGCTTTTACTGAATTGAAATTGGCATTTTTATGACATTTTATAGACTATAGAATCAATCAATCCATCAGACTATGACATACATATGAAATGAATCAATAGTGTCGATAATTATTCGCAGCACAATCACAGATCTGCTCTGAAAGACAATTAGGTGTTGCTGCATGCGTTCAGTTTGCCTAAAAATGAGGTAATGGCAGCGAGTACTACAGATTCCCCACAAGGCTCCACAGCAGCATCAAAGGAATATTAAGACTATATTTGACTCTATGTGTGCTTTGGTGCTCCTCTTTTTTTTAATATATGTGTTGATCTACTGCACTTTAATAACAGAAAGACAAACACTAGAGGGGAAAAAATACCTCCAGATCTTATATCCTCCCCAGATGGACCAATGACAGGCACCTTCACAGAGCTCCTAATTAACCACATATCCCTCCCCCCCCCCTCCAGAAAAAACCCCCACGTGGTCTGCAGGCTTTAATAAACGAGAGACAGGACGCAGGGCGCATATTAACCGGTCAATATGTCACAGTGTTAACGCCTGGTTACACATTGAGGGCGAGAGATGGGGACAGAAGATGAGGGATGGTGATGGTGATGGTGGTGGTGGTGGATGAGGGGGGGCTTTACAGTGGCAGCGCGTGCCCATGTGAACCCGACCGACCCTGCGCGTGCACGAGCCACCCTGTTGCTGGGCAGTGCTCATTTCAAGATTTTTGCACATTTTCCTCCAGTGTGTGCCCCAATACAGACAGAGGATGGACAGTAGGTAAATAATGAGGATGCAGAGGAGGAGGAGGAGGAGGAGGTGGAGAGGTGGTGGTGATGGTGTGGGGATGGGGAGGGGATGTCCAGTTGTCTCGGGCTTTCCTCCCCCCCTCCTCCTCCCCTAAATGTCTGGAGGAATTCAGTCCTTTCAGCACCATGAATGGGCCTCCTGTAGCCGGGCCACGGTGCACCTAATCCCGCCTTTGTCTTTGATGCGCACCGACGCGACCAGACGCAGCTGCAGAGCCTGAACTGTCAAATGTCTCAGTGGTCATCCACACATTTCTTCCTCAGGAGGATGTAGAGCTTATATTAAGGAAGGCATATTGGAATTAAGTAGCCTAATTACAAGAGGGAGAGCTTTTCTGTCCCCTGTACACCCTGAGTAGATACAGTGGACACAGCCAGTGGTTCAAGTGGCATTAGTGATCAATAGCCCACAGGGAGGCAGAAAATGTGAAACCACACCAATGGACTGGTCTGCACAGCATTTTGATTTGTCTTTTGGATGCAATTATGTTTGTAGCTGCTATTAAAAAAATGAGGACAATGTGGTATTATAAATGCAACACCCAGTGCATTTGTCCAAATTCAGTATCAGTGCACATCAAGTTACCACCAATGAGCTGCAAGATGATGAATTAGTGCACATTAAGCTGCCATCAGTGCACATTTTTTCCCCCAGTTGCATCCCCATGCCGCATTTGCATGTGTCATTTTCCGATGCAGGTGTCATTATTTTTTCTTCTTCTTCTTCATATTCACACACGTGCGCGCCTCCGTGCACACATTAAAACCCATAGCTACACGCACGCTCAGGGTGGGACACCGGCAGCGCAGCGGTCTTACCGTGAGCACACAGCGGGATGAGGACCATGGAGACGGTCAGCAGCACCTGCCAGGTCCCCAAGCGACCGTCACAGCGCGCCATAACGCAGCCTTCTTCAGTGTCCCTCTTCGATGCAAACTCTGATTCCCCCCCTCCACGTTCCTCCTTCGGTGTCACCGGTCAGACCTCGGAGCTGTCACAATTAATCCTCGCGGCGAGATCCTCCAAAGTTCAGATCTTGTCCATTTTCGCCATGTCGCCTTTTTTTTTTTTTTTTTTAAATTTATCCTCGCTTGATCTCCCTGCCTCTGTGTGTGTGAAGCGTTTAGCGGCTCGGGTTCGGTTCCATTGTGCCCTCTCCTCCACACCTTTTACGCGCGTGTCACTTCTGCGCTTTTTTTCTTCTTCTTTTTTTTTTTGGTTGTCCGTCGACGGCACGAGCAGGCGGTACCGGGAGGAGTTGTAGTAGTAAATGCGCGCGACCAGCGGAGGGTCTGCAGACGAGATTTTAATGGTTCGTCTCTGCCTGCCTCCCTGCCTGCATGCATGAGATCTGTTAAGCCTTTTTTTTTTTTTTTT